GACCTGGGGCGGGCGCAGCAGCCACGAGCCAGAGCGCAGCGCCCCTGCTTGGCCTGGTGTTTTTCAGATTTTTTCTCCTGAGTTGTCTGCTCAGCCTAGTGATCGTGCCGGGATTAGCAACATCCTTACAACAAAAAAGATGTGTTTTAGTTTATTCGTGGTAGGGATTAGTCCCCTACCGCGGTGGATGCCCCTAGTAGACCTCGGGCTGGGAAGTCAGCGTGGGGGGGTTCATCGCGTATGGGGAAGGATCCAGGGGCGGGGTCCCTCGCCTCTCCGCCCGCACCTAAGCTCGGAAGGAGGACACCGCCAGTATGTAGAGCATCTACCATACCCTGAGTTGGGAGGGGCGCGCGGAGGGCTTTGAACCCGCCAGACACCTTTTACAGCTTAAGTGTCCATCTGGGGGCATTAATTCAATAAACTTGTATTGGCCTTCTAGGTGGCAGGCTCTGATGCAAGGACCTAGGACCAAATCTCTCTCCGTGTGTGTGTGTGTGTGCGTGTGTGTGTGTGTGTGTGTGTGTGTGTGTGTGTGTGTGTCTGTGTCTGTGTGTCTGTGTGTCTGTGTGTGTCTGTGTGTGTGTGTGTGTTTTCTGGTGCTCCTGGTCCATCTATCTGTCAGCACGCCCCATAGTTCCATGAACCCATTGCCCTCACATTTCCCAGTGTTCTGTGCATCTCCATGTGATCCAGACTTTTTCTTTACCCTCTCTCCAGGCAACTTCTCTCTAATTATCTGTTCTATATGCATTTTCTTCAGAGTAGTTCTCTATTTTTCAAACTAATCTATAAATGAATTTCTGTTAATGACAAAACTATTTTTTTTAGTTACACTTTAAATTTTTTTTAAATATGTCTTTATTGATTTCAGAGAGGAAGGGGGAGAGAGAGAGAAACATCAATGATGAGTCATTGATTGGCTGCCTCCTGCACGCCCCCTACTGGGGGTGGAGCACCGCAACCGGGCATGTGCCCTGAACCCAATGCAACCACAATCACCTGGATCCTAGGTCGATGCTACATGTCGGATTGACTACCCTTTAATTTTATCAAGGGGATTTCAATGCCCTAACCCAGTGGTTCTTGAACTTGAGTGTACATCAGAATCACCTAGAGAGCTCGTTAAAACACGGATGGCTGAGTCCCACCCTAGAGAGGGGCTTAAAAATTTGCTTCCTAATAGGTTGGCAAGTGATAATGATATTGATAGTTCAGCACTTTTTGAGGACCATTACCCTAACAAAGGAATGATGCCAGTGAGAATGTCTGATGGTATGGCTAACTTGAGGAAGGGCACCCCAACTCATGGGACCCTCCATTGTTGGAACAGAAAAAATCATTTGAGAACTAGTTTAGTGACTTTCAGCCTTACCTACATGTTAGAATCATCTAGAGAATCTTAAAATAAATTTATCAGTGCCCAAACCATACCCCCAGAACAATTGAATCCTTCTCTGGGGTTTGGGATGGGACTGAGTATAGGTAGGTTTTTAATAGCTCCACAGATGATAAACTAAAGAGGAGGACCATTGATAAAGTCTGACTTGGCCTTGTACAAGTATTCTAGAAGAGAATACTGCCAGTCCAAAGAGATTAAGTAATTGGTTTAAGGTTATATGACTGGTTAGTTGGAGAACTCAAGCCTCTTGAACTTTCAGAACTTTCTACCACACCTTAATGTCTGCTTTAGCCAAACACTGTAGGGTTCCTGCCTAGGGTTGTGGTCAAGACCAGGAAAGGGTAACTAAGCTAATTCCTACCGTATGTGCTCAACTCAAGTCCATTGCAGGAACATTTCCATTGGTGGCGTGGTTGTCCCACTGGAACTGAAGTCAAAGGAGCCTGACGGGGATAGAATTGTTTATACGGGCACATATGATACAGAAGGTGTGGCCCCAACCAAGAGTGGAGAACGACAACCCATCCAGATCACCATGCCGGTAAGGCCTGCTTAGGGTATAGGGTGTGATGCATGGGCAAGTGGAAACCACAGAAAATCACTATCTCCCTTTAAGAAAAGGTGTAAAATGAAACACTATGAAATTATGAAATATTTAAATTCATCATTTCATATTAGAATCTATTTGTCCATAATGTCCCAATATAATTAATGAAATAATCCATATTTCTCCAAAGGTCAGTTTCATAGTAATTTTTTAAATGGGAAAAATTTTAAGGCTCTTTTTACACTTTCTAATCTATTCCACTGATTTGTCTATTCTTATGTCAGTACTGCATTGTTTTAAATACATTGCTTTTATAATATATGTTCAGGTATCTTGTAACTGGCCTCCTTACTGAACTTGTATACTAAAATTTTTCAGTTAATGATCTTGTGTTTTTTAGACAGAAGGTCATAATCTACATATAACTGTGTCAATTTCTGATTTTTTTTTCTTCTGGCCTTATTGTATAGGCTAGTGTTTCTAGAATAAATTTGCATGCTAGTGATGGTAAAGGGTATCCTTATCTCTGGAGTTACACTGTTAGGTACAATGTTAGTTTCAAATATTTATTGTGTTAAAACATCCTTTTTCTAGTTCACTAAGAGGTGTTTTTTAAATTGGGAGGTGTGTGAAATGTCATCTAATTCCTTTTCCCATCTATGGAAATAATTTATCTCCTTTGATATATTAATGTAATAATTATATAATACACTTTCAAATACTAAAATACCTTTATTTTCTAAAATAAGTCCTGTTTAAACATCACATATCATTTTTAATATATTGCTAAATTTAATATGCTCACATGTTATTTAGAATTTCTAGATTTTTATTTTATGAATTTTTTTATTTTCTTGGTTTATTAGCAAATATATGAGGATTTCCTATATGTTACTGGGAGAAGAGTGGTAAACAAAACAGATAGTCCTGGCTTTATGGAGTTTCTAATCTAGAGGAGCAAAACATAATTTATACATGATTATCAATACTGAAGCAAATTGTTATTATATAAAGTGTAGTGAGAAAATAATGGTGCCTGTGAAGCACACAATATTTTGAGGATGGCTTTCTTAAGGAAGAACTAAAGAATGAATAAGAGTTTGGGGAAGAGGGAGCATGTGAGGAAAGAGGAGCTACTAAGGTCAAGAGCATAATGTGTTCTCATGAGTGACAGGAGCCCAACGTGGCTGGGCCAGAGAATGAGGCAGAGACTGGCTCATGATTAAGCTGTAGAGGTAAGTAGGAGGTAGATGTTACAGGAACTTCTTTGCTTTCAGATTTATCCTAATGCCTATAGGAATTCGTTGAAGGTTTAAAAATCAACTTTGATATAAATTTACATACAATAAAATGCACCCATTTTAAGTGTACAGTTACATAGGTTTTGACAAATGGATACTACTGTGCAATCACCACCCCAATAAAAATATAGGACATTTCCGTCATCTGAAAAAGTCCCTCATGCCTGTTTGTAATCAGTCCCCCCAATCCTAGCTCACCCTAAGCTGTTTGTCTTACTTAGTTCTGTTGTAGAATTTCATGTAAGTAGAATCATACTGTTGTGTCTGACTTCTTTCACTTAGCATAATGTTCTTGAGATCCATCCATGCTGTTGCATGTATCAGTAGTTGGTTCCTTTTATCACTAAGTAGTAGTCCATTGTATGAAGATATTACAATTTATTTAAGTGGACAAACATCTGGGTTGTTTTCAGCTTTTGGTATTATGAATAAAGCTGCGTGAACATTTGAATATAAGTCTTACTGTGAACACATTTTCATTTCTCTTGAGTAAATACCTAAGAGGAGATTTGATGAGTCACATGGGAAGTATATGTTTAGCTTTATAAGAAATATCCAGAATGTTTTACCATTTCATGTTTCTGCCAGGAATATATGAGGATTCTAGTTGCTTTACATATTTAATTATCTACAGTGCTTTAAATTTTGAAATGCAAAACACCTAGAAGAGCTAAAACAATTTTGTTCCATGATCTGTACTCTAGTCTTTAAGTCAGGTTGCATAAATCTTCCAGCTTTGTTTATTCTAAGTTATTTTGGCTACTCTAGGCCCTTTGCATTTTTTATATAGATTTTAGAGTTGTTAATTTCTCCAAAAATTGGGATATTCATTGGTTTTGCATTATATCTATAGGTTAATTTTGAAGAAATTTGACACTTTAATATTGAGCTTTCCAATACATAAATATGATATCTCTATTTAGGTCTTTTAAAATTTATTTCTATAATATATTACAGCATTCCCAGTACAGATTTTTACATATTCTGTTAAATTTATCAGCATTCAGTTTTTCAACACAAAGTACGAAGTTAGCTGTAGGGGGGTTTTTTGGTAAACACCTTTTATCAAGTTAAGGAAATTCCCTTCTATCCCTAGTTTATTGGGAGTTTTTATCATGAGTTTATTGAAATATGTTTTCAAATATGTTTTCTCTGTCTTTTGAGCTGATCATATGATGTTTTCTTTTTTATCTTTCTCCGTGGTAGATTTTATTGTTGTTGTTTTTCAGTGTTAAAACAACTGTGACTCCCAAAATAAAAACCATTTAGTCATGGTATAGTGTCAGTATATATGACTGGATTTGATTCATTAATATTTTGTCAAGGATTTTTACATCTATGTTTCCTAGGGATTTTGGTCTGCACTTTTCTTATAATGTCTTCATCTAGTTTTGGTATCAGAGTAATAATACTGGCCACATAAAACTGTATAGATTTTGTACTCTTGTTCTTCAGCATTGGGCAGAATTCACCAATAAATGCACACGTTTTACTTTGTTTGAAGGTTTTTAGTTACAAATTCAGTTTCCTTAGTTGATATTGGGCTACTCAGGTTTTATTTCTTGAATCAATGTTTGCAATTTATCTTTGATGCCATTCAGTTATTTCAATTCTGTTGTCAAATTTTTTGGCACAAAGTTGCTGATAATAATCCTCCACCATCCTTAATGTCTTAGGATCTCCAATGATGTTCACTCTTTTATTCTTAATATTCATAACTTGCCTTTTTAAAATCTGATCAGCCTAACTAGGGATTTATCAATTTTATTGGACTTTCTAAAAGCCAGCTTTGTTTTTTGATGTTTCACTGTCTGTTTTTCTACTTCATTGATTTCTGGTCCTAACTTTATTTCTTTCCTTTATTTGCCTTGAGAACTTTTAATTGAAGTATAAGACATATATAAACATAATATTTTTATATATAATATTTTATGTATACAGGCTGTGGCAAAGTAAGGTTACAATTGTGAGTACATGAGACAAAGTTTATTCTTGTATTGTTGTTTACTAATTATTATATTATTTTCCATATTAACAACTGTAAACCTACTTTTGCCTCACCCTGTATATAAAAAAATGACCCCTTTGTATATTATACAGTTCTGCTTTTCAGTAGTTTGACTATGATGCACCTAAGTGTGGTTTCTTTTTACTTCTTTTGCTTGGGGCCCATTGAATTTCTTGAATCTATAAGTTATAGGGTTTGTTTGTTTGTTTTACAATATTTGGGTTATTTTTAACTATTATTTTGTTTTAAAAAATTTTTCAACTCCATTCTCTTCTTTCCTTGGCATGTAGGACTCTAATTACACATATATTGGACAGGTATTATCCCACAGGTTTTTAAGGCCCTATTTAATTCTCTTCAGTTTTCCTTTATGGTTCTTCAAATTAGATCATTTCTATTGGCATATCCTCAAGTTCACTACTTTTTTTCCTTCTATCATTTCAAGTCTGCTATTATGCTTATCTTCTCATTTTTTCTATCATATTTTTCAGCTCTAGAATTTTCATTTGTAATTTTTATAGTTTCCATTTCTTGAGATTTCCTATCTATGTGCTATTGAAACCAAGTTCCCCTTTACTTCTTTGAGCATGTTTATAATTTCTAGTTTTAAGTATTTGTCTGGTAAATCCAGCATTTGACCCCAATTAGAGTAAGTTACTATAGAATGACTTTTTTCCTGAATATGGGTCATACTTTCCTGTTTTGTTACATACTTGTTAATATTTGATTAGAAACTAAACATGGTAGATAATATATTGTAGACCCAAGTTTCTGTTTTATTATTCTGAGGATTATTATCTTTTTCTATTCTAGCATGCAGAAAACATTCCTGGACTCAAACTACACACTCCTAGTATGTCAAGAATAACATATGTAATTAGAGTGGAAAGGAAATGTTAACTTGAAGCAGAACTGCAAATACCAAAGTTATCAGAACTTTAATGAGATCCCAGAGGGCCAGTGAGCTAACTTAAAGTTGTTCGTTCTTTCACTAAACTTGTGCTGAGGACTGGGTCAAGTGCAGAGGAGGCCACCATAAATGAGACTGTCCCCTCTCTTCTGAGTGCTCATAGAGCAGGGAGAAGGCCTCTCCACCTTCTCTCCGTTCCACTGTGAACTGGGGACCAGAGCTGTTACTTCCTCTGTTTACCTTGTGAGGCTGCTACACTCTCCTCAGCCTCTGGTCTTAGAAGGACCAGAAAGATACTTCTTTTGATACAGGTATAAACGGAACACTATGGAAGAAGGTTAACTCAGCGTTTAGAAAGGACTTGATTAAAAACGTCTTAATTGGGTCTGTAAAGTGAGAATTTCTACATTATTTAGGATGGCTGACGGACAGGTATCTTTTTAAATGTGAGAACGATTCAGGCTTAGTCATGAAAAGAAAGATGTCATGGATTACCATAAATCTGGATTGCCTGTGCAGGTGTGCAGCAAAGGGGTGAAGAGCCGTTGAGTTGCTAGGTGCTTTGGGGTATGTTGGAGGGGAATGGGTCTGCATGCAGGCTGCCCTGTAACCTGTGAACCCTGAGTCCCAGCAGTGAAGCCTAGGCTCTTACATATAATTCCCTCATCTAGAAGAAGCAGGTGGTTGATAGCTGATTGCGACAATGATCGCACAGCTTTTGGGTTGAGTATTGCCTTGCATTTGTACCTTATAGAACTAGCCTAAGAAAAACAAT